GGGGGGGGGGGGCGGCCAAAATTGTTTTTGCTTAGGGCGGCAAAAATCCTAGAGCCGGCCCTGTAGATGGAGCATCAAGGCTCAGCACTTTTGAAAATGTGCCCCTTATTAGTTGCCTAAACAGGAGCTGAGCTATTCTGAAAATGTGGCCCCACAGTCACTATTTAAATATTTTAAAAGAAATTGGTGAAACCCCAGCTTTCTCTGACCGTTCAGAGTAGTGATCAGCAGATGTTATATGCTGAACTGGGGGCAGTGGGAGGAGTTAGTGGTGCAGGAGGAGAGTCCTCTGATAGAGATATAAATATCAGTATGTCATTTATATTTGGGAGCCACATGTAAATAACTTGACATGCTGAGAGAAGCGGACTGGTGAGGGAGAGTGGGCAGCAAAACACCTTTCAGGAGGAACTGCTGGGATCAGTTTTAGAGGAACCACCAGGAATCTGCTGCATTCCAAAGGAATGTATGCCTAGTGTTCTCGTTCTCCCAGTCTGTATTCCTGCTGGGGCTGTATTCCTACAGAAGAGAAGCCTGAGCCTGATGCCTATTAGTGCCACAACTTCTCCTGCTGTTCTCAGAACTCAGGCTCCACTGCTGGGCAGATTTGCGAGGAGCCTGCAGCAAAAGCCATGGCTCCCCTACAGCAGAGGATTTTGATCAAAGGGGGGAGAGTGGTGAATGATGACTACTCGCAGTTGGCTGATGTGTATGTGGAGGATGGAATAGTGCGGGCAGTGGGACCACACCTGCATCTTGGGGCACCTGCTGGGCTCCGAGTTATAGATGCTTGCAACAGACTGGTGCTGCCTGGGGGGATTGATCCCCACACACACATGCAGTTCCCCTTCATGGGCACCCAGTCCAAAGATGACTTCTACCAGGGAACAAAGGTAAATCAATCTGTCTGTCTTGTCTTTACCAGGAGGAAAATTCATTACCACCTATTCAGCTCTCTTGCTCTAGGAGAGAAGTCATCTCCTGAACACCTTGTCTCCCTTTTTAGAGGGTTAGCACAGGAAGGAGGAGGGTTTTCTCTTCCATGTTTTACTACCTCTGTCTCTCTCTACCGAGGAAGGTCCAGTTTGGATCCAGTTTATAGCTGCCAGTGATGTCCTCATTTTCCTTAGTTCTGTGCTTGGGTTCTGTTTGCTTCACCTTTGCAAGCCAGGTAAATTACATGAGCCGCTCTAGTGTAGTGAAGTATTTGTACATGTTAGAATTTATTGAAATTAGTGAATCAATTTAATTCCTTATGTAACTTGCTGCTATCATGCCCTGGAGACTGAAGTTCTCTGTCCCCAGAGCAGCTACAGCACTGAAGCTGCTCACCATTCCTCACTCTGCCCTGCCAGTAAATTTGGCCCATCACCAGCCTCCACTGGAGTCAAACTGATGTCCCAGAACTGAGTCTGTATCCCATTACCAGTCCCTTGAACCATCCAGTCCTCTAAAGGCAGAATTGCTGTTTGTAGAAAAGAGAACACATTTGTGTACCCTCGTAAGGAGGACTGGGTTAAATTAAGTCTAGGTTAAATTCATTGTAAAATATATCCAGTAATTGAAATAAGTTAAATTAAATTTTAGTTCTGTTATGTAGTGATGTCATGCAATAACCATACAATTATGATTTAAGGCATTTTAGTATCTGTGATCACAGATTAGATTTACCTGATTTTTAAACATAGATCAGATATTCATTTCCTGCCGACCCCGTGTTTTCACCACAGAGCAGAGTTAAAGTTCTTTGGGTGTCTTAACTATGCATTTCCGTACTTTAAGCTATTTGGATTTCTTTTATGTTTAACCTTAACTCTGAATTTCAAAGTTTGTAATGTTTGTTTTTTGGGATAATTACAAGAGTCTTGTAATGAGTGTTACCCTTAAGTTATCAATATACACTGGAGTTAATATTGAGAGGACAACATATTGTATAGGGATCCTTACATTGCATTTTTCATCATTATTAGAGTGCTTTTTCTTAACATGCACCAAGGCCATTGCCAATTGTTAAAATAGATGGATTTTAAATGTATTGCAAAGCGCTCAATAAAGAATGATTTTTGCAAAGCGATTTTCTAGCATAGTAAAGTAACTTGTATATCAAACATGTCATGTTTCCTGTTTTAAGGTAGATTTAGAACATAGTTTTAAAAGACACTAAAATATTTGATTTCTATATTCATGAATATTTATTAAGGTTGACAACTGAAAGAGCATTTTAAACTTAAGCATGGGCGTTTTTCAAAATCCAAGCTCTGTGATGGGTAGCTGGTAGATATGAGAGAATAATTAGCAGTGAATCTAGTATATGAATTTCAGACCATATATTTGTAAGCTGTCTAGGAGCTGATTACATTTTTCTCAAAACCATCATTATACAAATAATTTCCAAAAATAACTCTTGGTTTGTAAATTGTTCAATGAGCAGCTTTTTGGGTGTACTGGGTATTAGAAATTGAAAATTCAAGTTGTTAGTTTTCCTGGGACATATGAATCTCATGGCATGTTTCTGTTAACTGATTGGACAAGCAAAACTCTTCAAATCAGGTTTATGCTCTAAATATTCATGTTAATATATACAACATTCGCTCTCTGTGAATATTCTCCAAAACTTATGGCTTGCTGTTACCACAAATGTTCTTGCCCATAAATTTGTTCACCACAATATACTCTGAATGGGTGAAATTTTAGGTGTGAATAAAAAGCTCAGGGTTGTGGTTCAGGCTTCATCTGTGGGAAACCTAGATCATGCTGGCTGGCAGAAGGAAACACTTTGAAGAGCTAGCAAAGACTATGACCTTGTTCCAGTTGAGGGCATCTGTCTTTTATTCATCAATGAGTCACCCAAACTTTGGTACCTGGTAGATTCAGCTCAACTTATGGATAACAACTAGAACCAAAAACACCTTTACCAATCTATGGATGGCTAAGTGATTATGCCTTTTCCTGTCAAACGAGGATCGGGTTATGGGGATTTATGCTCTTCTTCCCCTCCAGAGTAGAGGGCTATACCTGAGGCTGCCCTTGAAGTTCAATGGTTATGTTATGCAGCTGTTCACTTGCTAATGAAGCAAGCCATAAATTTCTAGGTTTTAAGTCCAGAAGGGACCATGAGATCATCTAGTCTGAGCTCCTGAATAGCGTACAACTTCATCCCATTATCCCTTTATTGAGCCCAATAAACCTGCGTTTGACTCCCTTCCAAAAAGCTTTATTTTAAGACTTCAAGGGATGGAGAATCCACCACTTGTCTTGCAAGTTTGTTCCAATTGTTAATCACCCTCACCGTTAAAATAAATAAATTTGTGCCTTATTTCTCATATGAATTTGTCCAGGTTTAACTTCCAAGTCAGTGAATCTTCTTGTGCCTTTCTCCGTTAGATTAAAGAGCCCTTTAGTACCTGGTATTTTTTCCCTGTGTTTATGCACTGTAATCAAATCATATCTTGATCCTTTTGATAAATTAAATAGATTGAGCCCCTTAAGTCTCTCGCTGTCAGACATTCTCTCCAGCCTCAGAGTCTTTTTTTTTTTGGCTCCTCACTGCACACCCTCCAATTTTTCAACACCCTTTTTAAAATGTGGACACCAGAACTCTATGCAGCATTCTAGTATCAGTCTCTGCCCTATGCAGAGGTAAAATCACTTCTCCTCCTCCTCCTAACTATTCCCCTCTTTATACATTCTAGCATCACATTAGCCCCTTTTTGCCACAATATCGCAGTAAGAGCTCCTGGTTCCGTTTTTTGTCCAATATGTCTCCTAAATCCTTTCCAGAGTAAGTGCTTTCCAGGAGCTAGTCCCCCACTCTGCAGTCATGGCCTGCATTCTTTGTTGCTAGATGTGACTTTTTTTTTAATGAGCCCAGCTTATCAAGAGAACCAGATCGTTCTATATAACTGTCCTGTCCTCATCATTATTCACAACTCTCCCAAGCTTTATCAGCCCTGATTTTATATTTACCTCTAGATCATTGCCAAAAATATTGAATAGCATTGTGCCTAAAGTCAGTCCCTGAAGAACCCATTAGAAATACCCCCATTTGATGATGATTCCCCGTAGACCATTACTTTTTGAGATCTGTCAGTTAGACGGTTCTTAATCCATTTAACATGTAATTTATTGACATTGGATAGTGATAATAACAAGAATACACCACACAAATGTTCCACTGATGATACAAATGACCTGTTCAGTCACACATCCAAGTCATATAGTCACATAGTGATGAAATACTGACAGCATGTGAACAGATGAAGTGCACAGGCTCAGGCAGCCAAGAGGGCTGAAGCACATTTAAGGCTATAAAGGCCAGACAAGCAGACAGCTGAGAGAGAGAGAGAGATCAGGAGCTCTGAGAGGACCCGGAAGCAGCTGGGAAGCGCATTAAAATTCTTGTGTTAGTTGCTTATGCCGATACACAGTAGATCGGATAAAAAGAACTGTCAGTCCTTGTGCCTTAGCATAATCTGATCACCAGCTGGATCAAGAAAAACTTCCCCCTATGCTAGAATATGCACAGTTTGCCAACTGCATAATACATTTCATTTGGTTTTACTTCCTTTTAAACATCTTGAATAGGCTACTCTTAGAAATGGGATGGTGGAACCCATGGATCTGTATTAGCTGCAGGAGACAGGACTGCTTGGTTGACTACCCAGAAAAGGGTTGAACCTTTGTCTATCTTTTTGACATGATTATCTGTGACCAGAGAGTAGTCTAAAAGAGCCCTCAAGTTCTTAAGAGACCCTCCTTTTAAAGTGGACACAGAAATCTTTATAATGGTGATCCTGTTTACTTCTGCCTTGATCGCATTAGGAACATCGGAATTGCCATTCTGGATTAGACTTTATACCCATTTATTCCAGTGTAGGTTCAGTGCTAGCCATTTAGCACATATCACTCTGTAGTTTCCCCCATCTTATCAACTGACAGAGCAGCCTTGAATTCCTAAATCTTAATCTTAAACCTAAATCTTAAATCAGAGAAATCATGATTTCCTGAGTGAGTTAACTTGGGAAGCTCTGTTATGAAACTGTTATAATTGATCATTATGAAAACTTTGGCAGTGGGATTGGTATTGCACTGTTTGTACTAGGTGCTACATAGTTAACTCTGATTGCACACTATGTTTTAGGGTTTTTTAAACTTGGCTTGATTTCAAAATCAATATGGAAAGCTTTGTTAGGTACTAGGGGCACAATCACATACTACTGGACAAAATGCTCTCTTCTTTGAGTAGCCTCTACACCTAATTGTAAGTGTTTACCGGATCAGGACATAAGACTGTGACATCAGCAGTAACTCAGCCGTTGTCCAACTGACTTTACGTCATTTGCATGCCACATTTCTATTTGTTCTAATGCTGTAAAATTATCCCCTACTGTAATATGTTGTATTTCATAAGGCTAATCTAAAAGCTGTGAAATATACAGTAATGCTCTGAAAGCCACATAATAATAACAATAATATGGTAGGTGCTGTAAAAACACATAACAAAAAGATTGTCCCTGCCCCATGCAACTTACATACAATTTTTTTCACTAGCTGTCAGTGGTACTTTTGTTATATAGTGAGAGATACTATTACTTTACTTCTGTTTTTTAAGGATTCATGGCTTTTCTTTTAATGAAATGTGTAAAAGTTACTGAATTGCAAGGATAAGATAATATGCTTAGATAGGCTTCAAAACCTAGAACAAGGCAGGGTCCTGCAGAAGTACCCATGTGATCATGGAATTGCAGGCCATGTTTAAAGCATGTGCACAAGCAGACAGAGTGGAGAATGCACATGCAACAATTTTGGCATTTCCTGAATGCCTCACATTGCAACCATGTGATACTTTTGACATTGGTTTTGAAATAGAATATATAATTGTACATATCTTATT